CGGACCGATTTGGAAATTTTACAATTATTTCAAAAAAGTACGATGTTCTATAAAAACTGCATCTCGGCAAATTGCAATCGGTTGAAAAACTTGGAAGTTATGGTGATCTTCAGGTCGAAAAGACGATTTCCCGAACAAAATACTTTTAATTTTTACCGCGATTAACTCATTTTCCAAATAGAACATCAGATTGTTTACAACAAAAATTTGCATTTGCAACAGTTTGGAAGGAAGTGGGCTCTGAATATTGGCAAGCGCAAAACCCTCAAACTTGCACATACTTCCACTCTTTACCCGGTAACTCGGTCAGTTATTAACATTTTTCGGAACTTCAAAAACTCGTTATAAGCCCATACTTAGCGTAAAAAACTGTTTCTGGGCCAAAGTTGGAGTATTCCGAACAATCCAAATATATGCCAAGGCTTAAAGTAGCAGCAACGCTACACATTGAAACTGATGATGGTGGAAAACACCGAAACGTTTTTTAATTGAAACACAGTTAGGAAAGTATGTACAATGAAAGAAAATAAATGGAACTAAACTTAAAATTAAATCGGTGAAAAAGCGGCGCTTGTAGCGTTTTTCGTTTAGTTGATTTGATAATCATATTTTATTTGTAGTTTTTTTTTCGAAAAAGTGCATGAATACGCAGTTTGCTACCGACAGTGACGAAATCGTCCACCTTGTGGCGTGTGAATCGCGTTCTTAGATGGGAAATAGTGAATCATTGTGGCCCGTATGGCAAGTGTGGTAGTTTGCGTAGAAAATGGAGGATAGGGCGCCAGCTTGCAAAAAGCTGGCAAGAATGATCTCTAATCTATAAATCTTTTAGCTTCAACTAAGTTCAGTTTTCCAACAAGCAATTGGAGTTTTGTGAATTCTTTGTATTTCTCTCTCTTTGCTTTGCTAATTTCGAAAAAGTTTGGCTTTGGACAGATTTCCTGCTGTATTAAACACATTTTCTTCTTTCTGTCCCTGGTTGCCATTTTGCCGAGAACTTCGGCGGCTTTGCATTTTTAAATCATACATTATTTCAGATATTGAAGTGCATGTTTATGCCAAAATTTCATAAAAAAAACGTCTACAGAATGTCAAAATTGCAAGTTTCTACTGGCTTTGCTTTGGAAGGTGGGATTTTGGAAGCAAAAAAATGTCGGTGGACTTTTCGGGCCAATAAAAGGGACAAGACTAAACACTAAAACATATTACTTTGTATATTCTTAAAGCTGATGCCCAGATCTTAACTTTCGTTGAAAATTTGAGGTAAATAGTTCAAAAACAGGAATAGTTTGATCGAATTAACGAGTTTCACAATGTTAATTTTTTTACCTTTGCATTATATCTGATTTTTCCGATCCAAAATGCAATCTGATCTTGCATACCTCAAAGATATGTATGAATTTTATTCAAAAGACGCTGACTAATTGCGTAAATTTAATTGTCTTGCTTTCAGTTGACCAATTAAACTAATTAACTATAAAATATGACAATTTTGATTGATCGAATTTTCTTTTTCTATCCCGGTTTTGTTGTTTCAATAGTTCTGCTTAAAATTAACTCTAATCTCACACTGGCGTTTGGTGCCAGATCGTCTGGATTTTCCGCGAAGCCCACAAGTGGGCACCAGGTGTTTGACAAACACGCTCTGTTAAGTATTTAATTTTAGAATTTTCTCGAATTTTTTAATGAACCGTTGAAAAAATAGAGCACGCACCCAAGGAGAATGCGTTCCGATTTTTTGGCAGGGGTCAAATTGGCAAACGCCTCAAAGCCGGTCATTTTGGCACACTCATTTCAATACTAACAAATCGATGTGCTAATGAGCTCGTTGGAAATTTCGATAGATATAGACACACAAGATCGGACAATTTTGCAATTGTTATTGCTGTCGGCCTCTGGATGTGTTCCAGGAATATTCGGGTGGAGCAAAAAGTGTTATTGCGATATTTTGTCGAGATGTCAGGCAAACATCTATGTAATCCTTTGAAATCCGATAGCAGATGACGTGAATAGCGAACGCAGAATCTGAAAGAACCTTAATGATTTTCGGTAATTTTCCTCAAAAGATCATCGACCCTTAACGACAGGATATTTTGAGGGTTTAACTTGGAGAAATTTTCCGTTACGTTGTTTCAATCGTCACGGAACTGAAGTGTTTTGAGGAACCGAGCAAGATGAACCGAAGGTTTCATGCGAACAAAGGGAACGATAAACAGTTGATGGATGTTGATTAAAACCGGGTTCGGTCAATAATTCAACGCCCTTGATCAAGACGATTTTACCCTTCGCATTGATACAATCGCTATCGCCAAAGGCCGCACCATAAAAGCCACATTTTCACGCCGCCCTTCTGCCCTTCGTAATTATGATTTAGTTGAGTTACGGGCGCATTTTGGGCTTCGGCAATCAAAATACACGCTCCATAAACCTTCTCGTCGTTCCATTTTGTTGT